CCTTTCCTTTCCTTTCCTTCCTCTTGTATGCTTTCGTTGATTCCTTTTTGTTGTTGATTGTGATGTCCTTGTGCTTTGTGTATATCCTTTTGCACTTTATTGGTCTGTCTCCGATTTACAAACGTGACCCGCAGGATTATAAGCTGTACCATGCTACTACGTCAACACCTTTAAAGAAATGAAGAGCCCTCCTCGAACTACGTTAAAGCATGACTTGTTTCTAGACTGTCCGCTCATCGTGGTCTTGGTGAAAGTTCATTGCCTTGAAAGGTGACCTTCACTGCAGTACAAAAGGTTTCCTCAAAAGTGAGAGCTTGCGATTAACGAAATGCTTACAAAAACCAGAGAGGTCTGTCAGAAGCAAGCAATCATTGGCTTGGGCCTTGCGAAAGAAGGTGGTCGGCGCAAAGAACTCCAGCAGCCAAGGACCGACCAGGCCGCGCGCCCAGCCGTATATGATGTCACGGGTGACAGTTGGAATCTAAGAACGGCACACACAAAGTTGAACACAGTCAAACTCATTATTCACACAAAAGGAAACTAGTTTCGCTCAAATCCAATGACTGTTTAATGTACTTGATGTATTTGAGAGCCTGGCGTATGCCTGGTAGAGGAGTGCAGGTTTGATCTCCCAGCCCATGCTCTTGCGGAACCGGTAGTTGGTGACCTGAGGCGCACTCTGCACCAATTTATTCTTGCGCGCAATCTGTTGGCATCTTCATTTTCATCCTTTGGACTCGCAAGTAGCTGATTCTTCGGGAATTCAAACTGTTTTGCGTCTGTGCTTCCGTGGTGTCTTTGCTATGACCCTGGCCGGCAACATAATGGTGCAAAACAGCCAACCACTCACAAGGCCGCCTCGGATAGGGTCACCAGGGCGCCAATTCCCTAATGGTTATCTATATGCGTAATATAACAAACAAAACACGTTGCACAATACGAAATTGCAATTTGCGGTAGTCTGATACATGTTTGTCTTCCAGGATGAACACAAAGCCAGCAAAACTGTTGCAAGTCTAGGCCACTAAGTCCTGCAGACAAAGTGGTGAATGTCATCGCTCGGTTAATGACTTCAAAGACCGGGAACTTCAACCTCTGAGGCACGGGCTGCACATGTCCGAACCAAAAAATGCAACAAAAAATTCAAAACACAATTTGCCCTATATACCTCAAACGTGTTTGATTGTGGCAGTTGCACAAACAAAATTCGGGGACCTGACCCGTACACAAGGTTCAAGACTTTGCAACAGCCTTTCCAAAAAGTCACGATGGAAAATTAACCCAGCTTGGCAATTCAACAGCAGGAACAACTCAATTGACTGGAATTTTTCGACCCCACTGAAAAATGCAACCCCAATCAGTTTGCAAGTTGTAAAGAGAACTGGGGAGCAGGAACTGGGGAACAAAAACGGGAGCAGGAATTGAACTGGGGTCCGGAGCAGGTAGGAGGAAAGCGCATAAGAACAAAACGTCCAAAGACATGTTCGTAGGTACGTACAAACGCCTGCCGCACCATTGGTCCTACTAAGGCGAAGAAAGAAGAATGAATTGTGACAGGAACAGAAAGCACACCGCAAGTGCAATAGCACGGAACATCCTGCGATGATCGCAACTGCCTGTTGCCTTGCTACGCAAAAAGACATCGTGTTTTTGCAACGGGGCCAATTGTTTGCCGGTGCACAAACACCCGGCTAAGTACACGCGCATACCTTTGGCATTGCTGTAATTGTATGGTGCGCAGAAAGGCTGCTTCGCAACTAGGGCAGGAGGCACACCGCAAGCACAAAAAGGGTTGCCGTCGCAGCATGTCCTGCTAGGTAATGCAAACATAGGATTAATAATCCTCCCCTAGTTCATCCGAGCCCACAAAGTGTCCGAAAATTACCCAAATTGAAAGTATTATTGGTGGCTGGTTTCCCCCCCAATTGTCTAGTTGGGCACCAGAAACCCCCCCAGTTAATCCGAGCCTACACAATCCCAAAAAATTTTAGCTCTGTTTTATCAATGGATACTAGTGGAGGTTTATTAACCAACTCATCAACTCTCAACTCATGCTGCTGATTCAGCTGCTGCTCGTTCAACAACTCTCACCTCATCATCAAGGAGGTCTGAGTCTTTGCTCATGGCTTGCCCATCTGATACTTACGCTCCCTCCTCATCCAGTATGCAAGGCACTTAGCCTCATCACACTTCAAGCAGCCTGATTGAAATCTGCGTGAGGAGCAAATGCCTACACCTCTAGCCACAATCTTAGCTCTTGCCTCACGGTAGTCATGAGGGAGCTCATTAATCTGGATGGCTTTCTTCTCGTCCACGCATGCTACTGCTTCCTGCATCAGGGAAGTCAGCTCCTCATTCTTTTTCATCCTGGACTTTGCCAGCTGATGCTGCTTATGCATCTGATCAAGGTTCTTCTTGCCAAGCTGAATCAATTTCTCATTGGCAAGCTCAAGATCTTCCCTGATCTTGGGAACCTCACTGGCCAGCTGCTTGCTGATTTTCTCCAATCCTTAGATTGCAAGCAAATCAATCCCATTCGAAAAGACGGAAAGTCCACAGCTTGCGCAACAAAAAGCAAAGCTGAGACACTGGATTGCCATGAAAAGGCCATTTGGAAAGGAAATCCAGCTGATGCAGGGCCATAGCCAATGTGGTTGCTCATCTCACTCTCCATGAAGCTCAACACAAAATGGCCACACATGTTGCTAGTGGCAGGCTGCCTCACTTTCTCATTCTCTCTCCTTCAATGGTGGCCCATTGAGCAGGTCCTCATCAATGCATTCACAAGCCAGCATCTTGCCCAAGACCTCCTCAGCCATCGAGACACAGCTCTGCTGCATGTTCTCAATCTCATGCTGAGTGCCAATCTCTGTCTCATCAGAGCCCCTCAGACTGTCATAGTACCTGACTTTCTTCCTGAACATATCCACCACTAGCAGGGTCCAGTGATTATACCTGCCATCAGAGGCATCCATAAATCATTGTTTGTGCTTCTAATCCTCCAGGGGGGCACTTGTTACCAAGCACTAAAACTGGATCCCATGACCCTTGCTCATCTGCATCTTCTCCAATGGTTCCAGCCTCAATCAGAATCTCTTTCTTACGCGGCCTGCTCAGAGTCATTTGTGGCCAGTCCCATTTCTTCTTGGCCTCATGGTCTTCAATCTTTTGCAAATACTCACGCCTGATCCACGTGAGCTTGGCTGGCACAGATTTGTTGACCTCGTCAAGCAGGACTTGCCACTCATGGTTCCCAGTGGCCATGACAGTGCTTTGTCGACCAAAAAGGCTCATGCCTGCCATGTCTCACCACGCGAAACTCTCCAGGCTCATCTGTCCCTGGTGGTGCCTCCATTGGTGGTGGCAATGGGGGAGCATCTGCTCGTGTTTTAGCCTCATCTTGTTTCTTCTTCTTTTTGGCCAATGCCACAGCTGCGTGCCTTGTCTCATCCTTTGTCCTATTCTTGCTGGCCAACTTTTGCTTTGTCAAGACATTTTTCTTGCTCTTCTTTTTTGGCCAATGCTTTAGACGCAGGCGTCACAGTCCTGCTGCTAGGCACAATCTGCTGCATGGACTCACGCCTGCTCTTGCTTTGCAAGGTGGCTCTGATTTCTTGTCTCTCATCATCATCAAATTTCTTCTTTGCCTGGTTCCTCAGCTTTTTCTGATTTCTCTTCTCTCTCATCTTCTCCCTTTTTTGCTGGGCTTCTGAGTTCACGCCTGCCTCTCTCTTAGCAAGCTGTCTTCTCAAGTCCAACGAGAGCTGGAAGTGGCCAGCCTGCACCCATTCTGGTTGGTGTACCTCATCCAGCTCCATCACCCCTGCCTCATCAGCAGCATTCCAATTGGTGTAGCTCCACTCGATGAGGTCTGCAAGCTCTTTTGCTCCTTCCATTCTATCCCATATTGGCTCAGCAACCTCATTCCCACCATTCTTGATCCATGCCATGCGACTTTTCAACCAGTCTTGGCTTATTCTGGTGCTTCCAATGGGCATCCCCTTGCACCATGCCCCCTTCTGCTCATGATGGTACTTCAGAGATCCATCCTTCAGAGGTCTCATCACAAGCATTCCATTGTGCCTCAACCCTGCAAGGACCCAGTTCTTCCTCTCATTGCTTTGAATCATGTGCTCCATTTCCTCATCTATCACAGGAGCCACATCATTGATGCTCATTTTGTATTGGTCTGATGGCACTGCTTCATCTCTTCTCATCTTCTCCGCTCCTTGTTTCATCTTCATGTCTACAGCTGATCGCGCTTGGTCATCTTGGCCATGACACTGCATGGAACCTGGTGGCTCATGAATTGAAACCTCCTCACATCTGCTCGAAACGCAGCTCCGAAACACAGGCTCATTGGATACTTGTTGGCCTGATCTCTTATCTGCCAAGCCATCAGAACACTGTCCATGTTTGAGCTTGGCTGGTGCGTCCTCATCTGGCCCATGTACACAAAGGGTTCTGTCTCATTCCACTCATCATCCTTAGAAATGTTATCTAAGGATGCATGGGGGCCAGGCGCAATGACCACTCCTGGCAAGACATGACCAATGGTCTCAGAGGGCTCATCACCCAAGAGGCTGAACCATCCTGTCACAAGCTGATGTGCCTCAAATGTGATCCTATACTATACTTTTTATCCACATTGACCTCCCTCATGGTGGTGAGGTGGGCCTTCCCTCCATCAGGCGCTGATGGCTCATGGAAAATCATCCCAGCATCTCCATCATGCTCCTTGATCTGCTGGTCTGTTGGCTGAGCTCTGACCATCTCATCTTGCACAGGCCATGCAGCTTTCTCTGTTGCATCCTTGCTCAGCTGCTCACTGATGGCTTGCCTATGCACTGACACCTTCTTTGCTGATGACCTCAGCTCAAACCCAGCAAGCTCTGTTTGATGGCTTCTTCACCCATAGTGGGATCTGAGTCTGAAAAGCCCAGCACACATTGATGCACATGCTTCTTTGCCTTCTCTGGCTGCACAAACAGCTCATTGTACAGATCATCCTTCTTGCTGCTGCTGATCTGCCAAGCTTGGAAATCAAACTGATTCCATGTCAACTCAGCTCTCACCTGCTGCTCCACCTCACTGAGCTGTGTCACTAAATTGGGTGACTGCACTTTGGCACCCATCCAGCTCATCAGGTGTTTGGCTCTCTTGTCCTGATTCTTAGGCTTCTCAAGGCTCATCTTCTGCTTCTTGCCTCTATATATTCTGTCTTTCAGTAGTCTTTGTTGCTGTGCATTCTCTTCCTCATGCATCCTGCTTTCTAATCTTGCAATTTCCTCTGCCAGAAAACGTTTATATTTCCAGCTGACATGCCTTGGCAAAACTGTATGCCCATGGCTCCTCTCAGCCTCAAGCCAAGCTTTTGTCTTCTCATACAGCTCAGGAAACTCAAGCTTTGCTCCAGCTCCTGATGCCCTCACCCTTTCACTCTTAGCTTTCTCTTGCCCATGCACCCCATGTGCACCTGTTCTCTGTGACCTTTCATCCATGCTGGAGCTTTGCTTATGCTTCTTCATATCTTCTGCCCATTGCTTTCTCCTGCCGGCCTGGACATCCTACCCACAAGATGTGGAGAAAAGAGAGCAAAGTTCTTTGCACTCAATGCAAAGCGCACACTTTGCCCACCGGCCATGGCTTCGAAGCTAGCAAAGCGCTGCTTAGGCGGTGCGGACAGGGCAATGGCAGTCAGCAGACGCTGCCGCAATGCTTTCGGCCCAAGGAGGCCTAACTCGCCAGAAGCAAACCAGAAAAGGAGCGAAGAAAAAAAAGACAAAGCTCGTTAGCCAGCAACAATTGCTGCCCCCAACCCCCAATCTCAATCGCTGAATACTCCTTGAGCCGACTGTGTGGAAATCCAGTACTTTCAGAGGCATACAGTAGTCCGTTCAGTAAGTATTTACATTGTCATACATTGTCTCTGTTAGAGTCACTTATGGACGTTGAGTCAGGTCATCACGTTGTGGAAGTCACACTGTTGGTTTGCAGCCGAGCAGCATGTTCGTCGGAAACGTGGTCAAGAAAAACCCAGCCACCAAGGATAAAGTCATCTCATTCCACGCCTGCGCAACAAGGCAAATGCTTTGAACTCTCTAAGCTGGCAGACACGCTTACTCTTGCCGACCCAGAGAAGCATCAACAACATATTGATATGGTAAAGTCTAGTGTACTAAAGAAGTGTCCTCGCTCGGAGGGACAAGGTGATGATGGACAGCAAAAGCTTGTAGTTTGTTGTGCAGAGAAGCTTTCAATGTGTGTGTGTGATGTGTGAAAGCCAAGAACACCCACCTGTCCCACCGTCATTCGCTTCACCAGAAGTCGGTTGACCTGAAGGATATCAAATAAACAATCGCTTCTGTAGTGTTAGACGTTACACTTGGCCAAACCGGCTTCAATCTAACAAGCCCATCTTCGAGACATCAATACAGTCTAGCAGCTAGGCTATCAAAGTCAAATCTTCCCGTGCTCAAGCTACCCATCCAAAATGTTCATCCAAGTGTCAAGAGGTTCACACATTGCAGAGAGAATCGCTGCTATGAACGCTGCCTTGGATTCAACAGACTTTGGGCTGGGGGAAACCTGGAACAAACAAAGTGAGTCTAGTCTAGCCAAGAGCCTACCTAAACATGATTCAAAAAAATAAATATATGATCAACCACGACAATCGCCTTGAAACTCAGCTGCAAAAGTATCGTTGGAACACTGAACACCATCCCCAAAGGTATCACTAGCTGCTAGCTTCTCAGCTCCGGAAGTCTTAGCTGCATAGACCTTCGCTATTTGCAGACAAAATCACTGTGCAGCCCTGTGCTGCAGCTGCAAAGACCTGCTTGAGTGACACGTAGTGACACGAACTCAACTTCAAACTTTGCACCACCCTGACAGTGCACGTGAGCTAGCAGCTAACATGCTTTCAACACCCGCAGAACGGCCCCACACACTGCCACACAGCAAACTCTATACTCTCTGGAGTTCAATTAGAACTTCACACTCTTTAGTGGCACCTTGCTAAAAAAGTTGTCACCGCCATCCTCCTCCTCTGCGACTACGAGGGTTCGTGGAAGTCCACTGGGCACACACCAGAGCTCCCTCAAAGGCAGGCGCTTACTTTGCAATGGACCAACTTCTGCAGCAAGCATGCTAACAAGCAATGCCTGCGAAAGAGCTTGAAACCTTACAGCCTCTCAATTGACAAAAGAACAATGGTTACTGCCATAAATCATTATCTGCAACTCATCAAAAGGATCATCAACATGTGTGGGCTCGTGTGATTGGTATTGCCTTAGAGTTAAGAAATCCAAGCTCTCCCTTGGCTTACATTAGTTTTCCAGCATTGACTCCAAACAACTCAAGACAAGTGCTGAACAAACCCAGCAAAGGACATGAAGGATGGCAAGTCATATTGGACAACAGTCGAAGTAGGAAGAGAAGTGAGGAGACGTGTTTGGAAGTCAGTTGAAAGGCAAAGTCAAAGAAGTGGGGAGACAAAAACCTACTTATCTCGGAATGGGGCCCAAGTTCGGAGAGAAGTTGGGAGAAAGGTGGGAGACGAGGAAGAGTTGTCAAATTCAAGGCCACGTCATATTAGAACAAGAGGCAACTATATAGAGAGACTGCAGGAGGTTTGGGAAAAGAATTTGAAAATGCAAACTGCACTTGCATGTGACAGCCGCAATTAAACACCCACAGTGAATCTCCATTGTGATGTGGCTTGCGCAAACCATCTGCAGGCTGTGTTTGAAGGCTTCAGATGGTTTCTGTCACCCTTCACTATTTTGGAGCATTTGTCGGACAACAGCCAATGGCAAGAACAAGGCAAAACCACAGTAGACCGGCACTATATATGGCAATCTAGGGGAATGATGTAAAACCTTTGAGCCTCAGGTAATGGCACCCAAAAACGAGCAAAAACATTGTGGTTGACTTCTGATGGATACCATTCTGCTCTCATACCCAATCCATTGCAAACAGAGTGGGAAGCAACTTGCCAGGTTCCAAACTAGTTCAGGTATTTACGCGGTATAATCTGAAAAGGAAATATGTGTCCAAAAAGGCCCCTTTAAAGGGGGCCTGTTGCAAGAGGCCCAAACACCTTCTGTTATATTCCCACTTCTTGCACCAAACTAAACAAATCTACAAGTAAACGTTAATGTCTTAAGAAGTCGGACTGTTTTGATGATGCGAGGGGTTCAAGGAAGATTTTGAGAGGAGAAACATGATTGAACACCTCGAGTTTTTCTGCGTCGCTGCGGGACTTGTAGTTTCATGTCTATTTACTCCTCAAAAGGAAAACACTTTTAATTTGGTGTAAGATGGTGCGCTTTGGATGAAACAACGTGGAAGGTTGGAGAAATGTAAAAGGATTATTCTGGATAAACCTTGGTGTTCGGAATAGCAGCAAAACCTTTTGCGCACCATATGATAAGTAATCAATGATAATGCGTCTGCTTTCCACCATATCAACCTCTATACTGCTGCAGTTCTCTTAATCTCCGTGTATGCGTAACCTTCGGAGTCACAAGGTCTCCTTTGGCATCAAATTTCCTTCAAATTTAACATGCAGCGGGTGCCAGGCAAGTCCGGCGCTAGCAAACACACTCGCATTGGTCTGTGGTATCATCCGCGGGTACAGACGAACCGTGAAATTTGTCAACGGCCCTTCCAATTTGTACTTTCTGGATACCGCAGTCCCTTGTTCCACGGTTCCACGACTCGCCAAGATGGCCTTTGGGCGGCTGCCTCTATTTTTCTGCATGCGCTGTTTGTAACATGCATAAGCTGCTCCGCAATTTGGTTCTGTGGGTTTGCGTGGTGTGTCCCTTGGAAGGGCTGTTGTCAGTGTGAATTTCACATAAATAAAAAAATATATATACTACTGACTAGTAACTTAGGACTTGTCGGACATACGCGCCAATTCCAAAAGCCTATGTCATCAAGATTGATCCAACATTGGCATTTCCTCTTAAGGCCTATGTCATCAGGCCACAACCATGATATTCATAGAAATATGTATGAGGTATTCAAGGAAACAGCGCCTAGTCGCACCCTATGTCACCACTGTGTCACCAGGGTGCCAGGCAGTGGTATCTAGCATTATTTAGCTGTGTTTTTACATTTTTTGTCGAGGAGGTGTCCACAGGTCCTATGACACCAGGTTTCCCAACCCAGACCTTTTTTTTAGCTCGATATGTCAGGGCACATGACTTAGCCCTGGGGGTAGCCAGATTGGTATGTCACTTGCATCACGTTGGCCTAAGTCATTAGACAGTAGTATATATAATGTTCATGGCCAAGCTTCAGCAGGGAAAACACGACCAGGAGAAGCACGGGCACAAGGCCAGTGCGACGGCCTACCTTGAGTCTTGAAGAATCAAGCAAGCAGTGAATGGCAACCAACAGAGTGTTGACGAACTCTATTGGAGGTCCTTCAAAGTCTTCAGTCAGCAACTGAATCTTTTCAGTCAAGGCGCCATTCTCACAGCAGGACTCCGCTTGCCCGCAGCAATGTGCTGCGTTTGAGCCCAACACAGCTGGCAGGAGAAGGACTGCCTTCTGTCTCAACACAACTCAAGAAATGACGTTCTAGTTTCAAACACGGCAAAAGGTCTGAAACAAAACGAACACGCTCCTATTCTGTTAAGCAAGTTGAGACATATGCTTCCCTCTGTCTTGAGTTGCCTTTACTATTGCTTGGTATTTTGCTTCAATAAAAAAGGAACACATCAAGTTTTTCTCTAATGCTTGCTCAAAAAGGGACACACTGACCATGATACAATCTACATTTGGAAATTCAACGTTCGATTCAGGCAGCTATCTTGATTTTTCAAGCGCAAGACCGAAGTATGAAGAGCTCATTCCTAGTCCTAGTGTGAAAATACAACGGTCTGTCGCACGCCTTGGGCCGTGAGATGCCAAAGGCGCAAACACTCGACATGAAGGGTTGGAAAAACGTCCAGAACTCAGCCTCAGGTTCATCAGTTGCGCCTTACTGGGCGCACACGGATTTCCAAATCTAGAAGCAGAACTTACTAACTTACCCATGCTATCCTGGGTTGAAAGACATGCAAACAAGCACCTTGCTTAATGTATATCATTCCAGCAAAGTGAGGACCCCACGATTGAATCGGTTGGAGCAGCGCCCCAGACTGCTCACCTGGCCGTGCAAAGCGGGTCACTTGATTGCACAACACACCTTCAACAATTGAAACGTGACTAGCCTCGAAAGGGCTACAATGGCGATCACAAGGACTGCCAAGAGGCCCATAGCAATGGCACTGTGTTCCTTGAGATACCTCCAGGAGCACCATTTTCACTCATTTGCCACCCAGAGAGAATCAACGAACTTTCTGCAGTGCAATGAATCCAAATCAAGCTGCGCAAAAGCATCTTCAGCATAAGGAGTGACCAGCATGCCAATCATCAGTGCCACTCCCATGATGGTAGATCCGATGCCTGTGATTTCTAAACATATCAACTGCATCTACAAGCGTCTGCAGCAAGATGTGCAACTGGGGTTGCAGGTTGCAACCTGAAATCTGCATGATTCGGGCAAGAGTATAATACGGATGAAATCCGAGTATGCAAAAGTTCTTTCATCAGAACGTGCAAGAAAGTGATACCAGCTGGAAACCCTATCTGAATCATTTTTATGTAATTATACTTTATATATACATATGTATATTATTACAATATGTGATAAAACTGATGAGTTTGTTGTTGCTGATGCCTCTTAAAACAATAAAAAAACATATATATATATATACATATACATGTGTATGTATTATATATATTTTTATTTATAAATATATAATATATGCACAGGATTAGTGTGCATTCATGCTAGTTATTGTTTGTTGCAAAAACCAGAGCATAATGGCCTGTGGAGCGTGCGTAATTGATTGGCTTGAAGTACTCACTGAAAGGCAGCCTTAAGAGACAAAGCCGAATCGGCCACAATAAACCTTGCCAGCAAGGACTCCCTTCACAGAATGTAATGACCACCACGCACATGCCCCTCTGGACTGACCACTCACCTGACCCAACTAGCAACTTTGCCAAGCAACTTCTTCTCCTTCGGCTGCAGGGTAAAGCCGCGCCACTCGTTGCATGGAGAGGAGATGATGCCTGGCAAGAAAGCAACCAACGCAAGTTGCCGGAATCTCTATTCAAACATCTCTGAAGCTTCCAAACGCTCTTTTGTGCAACTCAGCTGCAGGATGCCCAAATTGTGAGGCCAAACACCATGGCCTCCAAGTCAAACTAGTTTCTAATTACAGCCTTCTGCCCATCATGTTCTTTCTGCTTCTCCGTCTTTCTGTCCGGCCGGGCTATCAAAAAAGATCAAATATATATCAAAAAAAAATTATATCCTATCAAAAAGAAAATTAAATAGTATCAAAAGCAAAATTTCTTTTAGCTGCGCCTGCCACTGCGAACAGCCTTGGCAGCGCTGCGCGATGTGAATCTGGATGTGCAGATTTCGTGGCATGCGCGGCACTTTGAGCATCTTCAGTAGGAGATTTCGTGGCAGGCGCAGCACTTTGCGCACTGGAAGTGCAGATTTCGTGTCAGGCACGGCACTTTGAGCACCTCCAGTAGCAGGTTTCGTGGCATGAGCGGCACTTTGCGCGCTGGAACTGCGGTTTTCCTGGCAGGCGCAGCACTTTGAGCGCCTTCAGTTGCAAAGCTCGTGGCACGCACAGTACTTTGCGCACTGGAACTGCAGGTTTCATGGCAGGCGCAGCACTTCGTGAACCTCGAAGTGCATATTGCGTGGCAGGCGCGGCGCTGGGTGAACCTCGAAGTGCAGATTGCGTGGCAGGCACGGCGCTGGGTGAACCTTTGTCTATAAGCGCAGACTTCGTGGTAGGCGCAGCGATTGCGAACCTCGAAGTGCAAATTGCGTGGCGTGCGCAAAATTTCTATGGATCTCAAGACCTGTGAAAAGAGCTCTTGATATCTCTGGATCTGAACATCTTTCTACACCCTCTGCAAGTCTAGACCCCTAGAACTTAGATTTCAAGACCTGCCTGGATCTCAAGACTCAAGACCTCTAAACCTCCATCTTTAGATCTGTGGGTTTCTAGACCTCTACACCTGCAGATCCGTCTGGATCTCCAGGCCTTCGGATTTTTGTAGATCTAAACCTCTCTGCATCTCAACCGTGATCTCTCTGAATTTCAGACCTCTGGGTTTCTGTAGATGGATCTCAACCACAAGACCTGTGGATGGCTCACAAGAGGCCTGCAATGTTGGAATGGCACCTTCCTCCTCCAAAGTTTACGCTGACAACAGGTCTGCTCTTGTGAATTTTGCCCTCGCATGGCTCACAAAAGGTCTACTGCTCCTCTAAACTTTGCTCACAAAAGGTCTGCTACCTTGGCGTGGCACCTTAAGTTTATAACAAATTCTACTCGGTTTGCTCACAAAACAAAGGCCTGCTACGTTGGAATGGAAACTTCTTCCTCCAAATTTTAACCTTGCAAGGCTAACAAAAGGTCTGCAACGTTGGAATGGCTCCTTCCTCTTCTAAATTTTGCCCTCATGTGGCTGACAAAAGGTTTGCTACCTTGGAATGGCACCTTCTTCGTCTAAATTTTACCGTCAGAAAAGGGTCTGCTACGTCTGGTGACAAAAGGTCTGCTACAGTGCTTCACAGGATGTATGACCAGATTTCCAAATCACCTTGAACGCGTCTTGCCTGGAAAGTACAGACCCAAGGACCCGAAGACAAGGACGAAGGACCAAAGGACCAGAGGACCAAAGGACCAGGACATAAGGAACAGAGGACCAAGACTTTTGGACTTTGCGTCGCACTCAAACGAGTTTGAGAGGCGGGGCATGGCAGGTGAGGTCTCACCCGGCTCTCTTGGAGCATGCACCGTGGTGCTCTACAGAGGAAATTTGGAAAAAGGTGAACAGAGAAAAGGCTCTATGCTGTATGTCCACCTTGTTTAGAAGAAAGAAGTGTCGAGTGGAGAGAAAAATCTCCGGTTGAATCCAGCCTGTCTGGAACCACAAAAGGTTCAAGCATACTACTATATTCCAAAAAATCATCCTTTGAGGAGTCATGTCCAACAAGACTCTGCTTTGGACGATGGTGAGACCAGAACGTCTCAGCACAAGGATGGCACATGCAAAAGGGTCATCCATTCACTCTGAACAAAAACTAGACCTCAGTTCGTCCATGGAAAACAAAATGATTAACAGAGGCCTTTCACTTCCCTCACTTAGGAGGACCAGCCGCCCAGCCACCCAGCCGCCAGCAGGCCGCAGCCAAAGAGCATGAAGCCAAGCATCAGCAATTTCAGGCCAAATCACACGAGTCTTATACTGCTGAGCCTCGTTCCCGAACCATGTAGCCAGGTCGCGGCAAGGCGCAGTGTCCACGCCAAAAATGGAGCCTTGGTCCAAGCAGCTCCACCTCGTAGTACCTTGTGCGGTGCGAAGGTTCAAGGCAACATGGCACTCATGGTCCAGGTCCGAGGGGTGTCTTGGCGTGTGATTCTGATGCCACAGCCCACACATGGGAGCTGTCCATCAAGGTGCTCTTGGTTCGGCCTGACATCTCATCTTGCCAGTACCGGGCGCTTTGTACGCAGATGTCTGGAGAGAGATCTGTAGCCCATGACGACCTTGCCACAGATAGCACAACGTGCTCTGAAATAGGACAGAAGTTCTGAAGGAAGATGCGCAAAGTCTCCATTCATGGTTCCAATCATGTTGATTGAGTTGATGGAGGAGGTGATGGACACGCATTTTGTGTCCAAGCGTCTGATAGCAGGCCTGTGAGGGGTCAAAGCAATCTTCCCTGATGAGCCAGATCTGTTCATCTCCTGGCAAAAGAGAAGCCTGCCACAACTCGGTACGGTACCAACCTGCATGACATATCGTTTTCAGTCTCAACTGGGATCATTATGAGTCCTTGAGTGTCCAGAGCCCAGTCGAGCGTTGAGCTTGCTCAGCACGCCTAGGTAGTTGGACTCGTATCTGTCAAGGTGGACACAGAGGAATTTCAAAGGTCGTACGCATTCCACGATAGGCGTGCCAGTTATCCACAAGTGTCTGTAGGTGTGTGTGTGTTGTACAGACTCTTCAAAGACGGACAGTGTGGGAGGAGTCCATTTTGTTCCCTGGCCTTTGATCTGCACAATCCCCTGGCAGTCAACGCTGCTATTCCAAGTGAGATTGATACACCTTGGCATCATCCACAGCAAGAAGTGCTGTAGCAATTCATGGATGTCTTGCTGACGCCCATTGCCCCAATCTTTGAGGAAGATCTGAAAGGTCGACAAATCCTCAAGACAAACCCATAGACTCTCCTGACAGCAAAGGTCCTCAAAGGCATCTGCACCAGCACCGTAGTCTTCCCAGTGAAGTGGACTCATCTGAAGAAGTGCCCAGCCCATTGAAAGCGCGGTGGCATTCTGATAGCAGGTATATTGCCTCCATTGCGCAGTCGAAGAGCCATCAAGACACCGCAAGTTTCCGTTTTTGGTACCGGTCTGAGGAGCTCTTGGCTAGGGCGCTGGCCACTGGGTTCTCCTTCATGAAATGGGGGCGTAGTCTGGCCTGGACCAGAAGCCAAAGAGCTGAACCTGACAGGAGATTCAAAATCTCCCACATCGCTGGTGTCGTAGACGTACTTGAAGTAGTCAAGAACATACCTGAGAGGCATCCATGTTCTCGTTCATGGCTTTGAGGCTCTTGAACCGGATCACCTGGTCGTCCTGGGTGGTCGGAGTGCGCTCAATGATTTTGAGCTTGCGATTGGGACACCACATCAAGTAGGGCCATGCTTGTCCTGAGGTCAGCATGGTCGATGAAGCGGCTTCCTTCCACAATTCGCTGCTCGACGTTGCTTGTGCAATCTTGGCGAACCGGTCTGACAAGATCTGGATCACGTGGTTCCATACAACTCCTTTCAGAGGACGGGAGACGTTGCGTAGCTCCACATCTTTCTTCCATTTCTGCCTCTGAGTGATCAGCTGGCCCAGCACTCATTTTTGATTGGCTTGTAGGAAGAGGGTGAATTGGTCTTGCGTCGCAAGGCCTGGACGTGGCCCGTGCCTCAGGCTGAGGGCTGTGAGTTTTTGGAGTTGCGCTCACAATTTTCTGATATCTCTCCTTCCTTGTCCATCTGCTTTTTCTTCCTTGTGTTGGTGTTCTCGAACAGGGCGCCGGGAGCATCCCCCATCTGGCCCATCACGTCGTCTTGGCTGATCTGAAAGCTTTCCATCCGAGGCAAGCAGGAAGGCAATGTTGAGGGCTACCGGACACCGTTCAGCTACTCCAGTTGAGTAGAGCGCGCAGCAGTCAATTGTTGGGCATTTCACTGACTCAAGAAGGTGAAGCGCTGAGTCCATCCAGCTGGAGTGGTTCATCAGGAGATGCGCTTCAAGATTCTCCAGCTCACATGAGTGATGACAAAGTGCACAGCTGGAACTGTAGGGCTCTGCCGGAAGCAGTCTGCAAGCGAGGATGGTTGAGGCGTCGGTACCTCTGGCACAACAGAGTGGATCAACAGGGAGCAAAGCTTGATGTAGGATGGCCAGTTGCGCGCAAAGGTGCATTGTGTCCTTTGCGGGCCACCGTACTGCCGCGACGGCAAGGGCGGCCCGAGGCTGCGGCTTCATTCTGGTACCTGTCGTCGAGCCTTGCAAAGATCCAACAGGTGTTTGTGGTCTTGAAGCATGCGCTGAAAGATCGACCCAGGTTTGCGGGTCTGTCTGCCGCAGAGGACACAACGGACACAACACGCCTTCAGGGCCATCATGTAGTCGTTGTTCAGCAGTATCTGGTCAGCGTCGTGGTTCAGAACGAGGTCCTTCAAGGCCTGCCAGGTGTAGGGCACATAATTTCCAAGTGGTCGATTTGGATTGTATGCCTTGCAGCATCCTGACTCAATATGAATTCGAAGACCGTAATGACGGCGGAGAACTTGTTGGCAGTGACTGCAAGTAGCTGTCCCATCAGCAGAGTCACGTCCTGGGTGGAATTCGTGTAGGTTATATGCTAGCTGTCGCACAGCATGACATGGATGAGCCCGCGCAATGCCCCCTCGAAGATGATGGATGATCACAGCCTCGTGAAATGTGGCCCTTTCCCACAACTGGTGATGGACCAGGTTCAAATGTTTGAGCATGTCAGTTCCTGAGGTGAAGTGTCTGTAGCAAAGAAGACAGTGTTCCCTCACCATCTGTGCTAGCTGGCTGTTCCAGGAGCGCCACGCAGGCCTCCTTTTGAGCATGTTCTCGAAGGTCAGGATGCTCGCCAGGAGGTACCTGCCAAGTACGGTGTGGGTGGAACGCTGAACAATGACCATGCATGATGTGTTTGGTGAGGCCTCCCCATGTGGAGCGCTTGATGAGGCAGCGCGCACACTGTGGTAGTCCTTTCAAGGCATCACGAAGAATCTCATATCGTTCGTAGAGCTTTGTGGCTTTGTGGACTCTGGTCAAGTGGGTTTGTGACTCCGTATATGTTTTGCTGCGGTGATCACAGTAAGGGCATGGAATGTCCTCGACCAAGTTGATCACCGGTTTCGAAGGTGAAGCAAATACCTGTAGGACTCGATGTTTGATGCGGTCTGCTGGAATGGAGTGCAAGTAGTCCTCACTATGGAGGCCTTGTCGAAGTCCTTTGAGTCGGTCAATGACATTGGTCCAGGTGGCCTGTAAGAGTGTGAGCGGTTCTGCTACCCCTAGCCGTTGATGAACTGAAGTCGTAGTCTCACGGGCCAGGTGAGCCGGAGATTCTGCGTACATCATGATGCAGTTTCCCTATCAGTTGGTCCAGTCCAGCCTTGGTGACTCCGGTGCATTGGAGGGCATGGCAGTAGGATGTGCGGACGGAGGCGCTCCACAGTCTTGCTCTGGAGGCACAACTGAATCCAAGTTTTCCTTGAAACCAGGACTTGAGTCGACCATAGGCTGCTTTACCAATGTTGAGTCGATGTGTCAACATTGCTTGCTCAAAAGAGAAGAACGACAGTCGTGCACCAAGGTACGTGCGATGATCAACCAGACGGAGAAACTGTGTTCTATTTTTCCTGGGAATTGCAATCCATGCGAGCGCCACGGAATCGATGTACGTGATTCTTCAAGACCTGTTTGGCTTTGAGCCCCGCCAGTCTGAGGAGGACGACTGTCTTATCTATTGAGATCAACATTCCAGTAGCCTCAAGAATATCGAAGAGTTGACCAATGAGACTCAGTGCATCTTTCAGGGTGAATTCGTTTTCGATGGAATCGCAGGAGCAAATCATCAGCATAAGTGAGAAGATGAACCATCATCCATAGCGGGCCTGTACGAGCCAGTTGAGCTTTGTGAAGGGCACTGCGTGGTATCCGGTCAAAGGCCTGATGAAGGTCCAAGGATAGAAGAAAACCGCCACATAGCCCAGGACGCTGGATGCCTGCCAGAGCTGACCAAGGTCCAGGCGTGGCATGGATACATGTCTGTCTGATCTGGTCGCAAAAGTCAAAAGAAACATAGTATACACTCCACGGTTGGGCAGGTACGCCAGAAAAGGCAAAAGGAAGACCGCTATGGCATTCAGGATGGCCTTCCCTATACCACATGTCAACGCAATGGGACGTAGGTCAGAGAGTGTTCGTACTGCTCTCTTGGAATTTGTGGATTGACATGCCAAAGTTGGTGCAAAGGAGGTGTGAGCCAGTCTGCGAGTGGCAAGTACCTTCAGCAGAGCCGCAGGTAAGGTACCAGGGGCCACAGCCTTGAATACACGTGTTTGATGAAGCTATCGAACAATGTCTGCATGCTCCAAGGGAAAAGGGTGTGCCAATTTGGAGGTCATCTCTGAGGTGGATGCCGTGAAGATGGAGAAGAAGTGGTTGAGCATCAAGTTCAACTCGGAGTCCGGTGGTTGAAGATCACCTGCGTCAGAGCGAAAGCGGATGAGTCTACGAGGTTGTTTGGGAGCAAGGATTCGAATGGCCTCGTAAAGAGCCCTGGAGTCGTGACGTCTTGAGGCTTGCGCAGCTTCCTGAGTGATCTGGTTGAGCTTGTCTCGTTTCTTTTGTTGACAGTATCTTCGAAGTTCTCGACAAAGTTTGTGGTACTGCGTTGCGGGGTACCAGGACTGGAAGAGGTTGGAGACATCCAGCGTAGAGGTGTTCTTGATGTAGAAGAGGTGTCTCCACTTCCTGGCCACGAGTGATCTGGAGGTGGGGAGAGTCCAAAGTGGGTGAGTTTTTGGTGGGGGTGATTCAAAATACCGTCGACAAAGTTGAAGAAGTGGTTGAATGGCTTCCTCCACATCCATGGTCTGGGGGCCTGGGCGCTGGCAAGGATCCTTGCTGATCAGCTTGAGGTCGTCGCATGAAGATGTAGTCGATGTTTGGTGAACCCTGGGAGCCAATGAACGTCGGTGAAGGAACATAGGGTCCATCAATGTACCAAATCTTGAAGATCAACTCTGTCATGATCTGGAGCAGTCCTCCTGAAGGGTATCTTGGGCAACGTAGGGTGTCATTCCAATCCGTCCAAAAAAGTTGTCTCATCTTCTGGGGATCTTGCCTGGTTCTGGTAACGCTGTTCATGTACTGATAGCAATTGATGACATCAATGTTTCCTCCACTCAAGTGGCAGCGAACAAGCTGAACGCGGCCTGGACGAGGAGAGGAGTAGCTGATGCTCTCCATCTTGCAGAAATTGTGGTTCACCAGCGTGAGGAGGTCTCCTCCTTTTTGTCCAGTGGAGTCTGCCGAAGGGACTGCCATGAATCCAAAAGTTGTCCATGGTTCTTCTAATGACCAAAGCGTGCTTTGAATCAGTACTATGTCAAATTGTTGAACATGAACCCAGTGCATCAGTTCTAGATACATCTCCTGGCTCAAGGACCGACAGTTACAGCAAAAAAGGGAGGCTCTCCGGTAGATTTCCTCCTAGGGCATGTAGTAGTGGACGATCGTGTAACCAATGGCTTCAAGGAAGTAGGGGTAGAGGAGGAAGTGAAGTGTGCAGCTGGCCCCTGTACACAATGAAGCCGTGGTTGGCAAGTCGTTGCTTACGAGCCCCAGAGGGCGCTTCAAGCCCTATTCCAGGTTGTTCGGGGTCATATCTATTGGGGGAACGAAAGTACCTAGCCCCTCTCGGACACTGGCATGTGTCCTACCCTCGCCTTTCGCTCTGAATTTTGGCAAGAGACTCGAGGTAGCTCCCGGATTTGGGACCGGGCGGATCCAGCTGTGCTGAGAAGTCCGAGCTGGTTGAGGTCTTGGCCCAATCCACCAGCGTCAGGAGAATCAAGAACAAACACAGCTGCCGCAGCTGAAGGTTCCAGCAGCTTACGAAGACAAAGGGACTAAAAGGGACCAGGACAAAGGGACCAAAAGACCAAGCGACCAGGGAACCAGCAAACCAGGACCAAAGGAGTAGGGGAACTTTCTTTTTGATACAAATTACAGTAATGGCTTTTTTGATAGGAAACAATTTTTTATTGATAGGAATCAATTTTCATTTTGATAGGTATCCCTCTTTCTGTGTCCTTTCTTTTTTGGACCCCTTGTTTCTTGTCGCCACCCACTCTCTGTTGGGCACGCCTTGTGAGAGAAGAGTTCTGGAGCGAAAAGATCTTGGAAAAAGGTACCAACAAGGCCACGAGCCCAGCCGTAGATGATATCACGAGCGACGGTTGGGACCTCACGTGGCACTTCAAACATATGGCAAGTGGAGACAACAAAAGAATGCTGCTGATAAGCTCTTCACGTATGCTTGGTAAAGAAGGGATGCCTTGATCTCCCAGCCCATGCTCTTCCGGAAGCGGTAGTTTGTCACCTTATGGGCGCCACGTTTCTATGTCCACCCTGCTCTCAGCCAGTCAGCCTTACACACTCTGTGAAGTTATAGAGTGCTCCTCAGGTTGCGGCAGGAAGCATGATGGTGCAAAAAAAGAACCCACTGATTGTTCCACCTTGCCAATTGACAGCTTGTCGTTTGGTTTGATGAGGCAAGGACACAACCAAAACTAAAGGCGTGCTACGCCACTGATGCTCGCAGGAAGTCCACTGAAGGCCATCGCGCGGTTGATCACTTCAAAGACAGGGAACTTGAGCCTCAGTTTGTCAGATTGTCCGGGGTGCAAAGACCAGGAAACACTTTTTACCTGCATCCAAAGCATGAGAGTGTTTGGGTTTCATGTTGCACTCCAAACATAGAGCCAAGCTTCACTCTCACGAGCTTGTTTGCTCGTCCAGCCGGCACTCTGTAAATAAACAATCCCATCTTTAATGCAAGCAAACTGCATATTGGTTGGGAAGGTCGTGAGGAAGAAACCAGCCACCAATGACAAGGTCATCTCGTTCCATGCCTAGTTAAGAAGAAGAGAGCCCACTCAGGAGGTACAGTAAATGCAGTCAGAATGTCATTCTCGCGATCTATGGCGTCACTGGCATCTACCCACCTGACCCACGGTCATTCGCTTCACGAGCAGTCGGTTCACCTGCAGGTCATACAGTTTTCTAGAAGCGAAATCTCACATAGATTAGATTGTGAAGGTTTCAACGACTGTCCTACCACTCGGGTCTGCACTATCAATCCCAACACATGATTCATTGTAATCCAAGGGTCCAAGGGCTCACACATTGCAGACAAAATAGCTGCTACAAAAGCTGCCTCGGACCCCAGTGCTTTGTGTTGCACAATTTGTGCGCTTGACCAGTTTAATTCAAGAACAGCTGTACTCGGTGTGCCAATTCTCTGTGATTGTAAGAAACATATGATCCACAAACCCCAGCCATGAATAGAAATACTTGGACCTGTATCATTCTTCCAGTGGTGTCTCTTTCATGATGACACTAGGTCTAGGTGTCTCCCGTGGTGTCTCCCCCTTAGGACCTGATTGAACTCAATGTATGTGTTTTGCTGCAAGTATCAGCGGAAAATAGACATACAGAAATGGTACTGCTAGGTTTATTGCCACATTGTGCACAAGGATCAATAAGTGAATCATAATGAAAAATGGTCTACGAAATTCAGTCAAGCCGGGACACGGTGCAGCCCTGTGCTGCAGCTGCAAAGACCTGTGCAAGAATGTTTACACTCTTCAGTTGGACCGTGGCGTGTTAAGTTCTTCAAAACACGAACTGATGTCTCTGCTAACGCCTCACATAGATTGCGTAAAGCAGCAACAATTTCATTTCGCACACCAAACTCACCTGGCAAACCTATCGAGCTCAACGTCCAGCCTTGCTGAAAAAATTATCGCCCTCATCTTCAGCTTCCTCCGCCACTACAAGGGCCCGTGGAAGTTCATTCGGAGCAGACCAAAGTTCCCTGAAAAGGAAATTCAATCACATAGTCCATTACGCAAAAAAATCTGAATTTGGGCAAAGGCGCAACAAAGTGCACACCGCGGCAAAAAGAAGCAGAACCCCAAGGCCACTGGTACGTTGACCAGCCTGGCAAAGATTAAAGTTGTGCAGGTGAACTGATTGTTGTAGACTCAAAAATGTTTAAGGGAATGCACTCCAAAAAAATTGCATTCAAGCAGCCATACTGAACTGGGGAGACAGTGGGCTGGCGTTTGGACTGAAAAGCTGCCTTGCAACTTCTCATAGTTGTCATTTGCTGGCCGTTTCTCTCTACATTTGAAACACGTCATGGTTCCTTGTCTGTTTTTGTTGGGTTTTCTCTCTTGTTCACTTGGTTTCCTCCTTGTTGCCTCATGTTGTTGTAGCACTTCCTTAACGATATGATGCAATTTTTTCAATTGCGCATTCAAGGTCCAACAATGAAGTCGCAGCGGGTTCAGTTGCAGCCACAAGGTCGACAAAAAGTTTGTTCCCGAGAGTGCATGAACCAAGGATTCTCCTGAAAAAATTCTAGAACCGAATAACCCCACACGTTAACAACTTCACCAAACACAGGGGCGGACAATTGGTTGTTGGTGGTTGGTTGGTAGTTGGTGGTTGGTGGTTCTTCAACTGCAAAAACTTGTTGTTCCTCAATTTCTTTTGACAAGCTTCATGGATCTCTCTCTATTCCTTCTTGGTTTCTTGGGACACTTTCTTGGAGGTGGACGGGCGGCGAGAGGAGGAGGAGCAGGAGCAGGAAGCCGAGTGGATACAGCACAGCGGAACATATCTCAGAGGCTGTCACGCAGATCCTTGGAATCAGTAAGCATTTCAGGGAAACCCTTCTCCATAGCCGCGGCTGCGTGCAACCTGCCACGCAAATCACACAGAGCGTACGTCCGACTTTCTCTTTTGCACGAGTCGAGCCGCCATTCATGCAGGAAGTGCACAGGTCAGCTTGTGCAATTTGTGGGGAGAGTCTCTATCAAGAAGGGTGCAAACCACAAGGACCAAACACAAACCAAAAACCAACCCCCAAAAAACCAAGGCAAAACCAACCAGCAGAAACACAAAGATGGAGACTCTCTCTCTCTTGAAATTAAACTTGAATGTACATGCATAGGTCAGACAGAGAGTGAAACCGAGGTTGGGCAATTAATTAGAGCAAAAAGGGCCACGAGGTTGGCCATCCAAAATGCGGAACAAATGCTTGCTGGCACATCATGACTCTAGGTCACTAAGCCTGCATCGGCAGGCTGTGTCATCGAGAATCGAGCACTAATGAGCTGTGCTTTCCGTGCTCATTGTGAAATGGCAACCGAGAGAATCTTGAAGAGGCACAGGCAAACTAGCCGGGCAAGAATGTGACAGACTGCACTTGAGACAATGTGTGTTCATGGGAGAATGCGTATGCCTTCATCTGCTCATTATTTCTGGCCCTGGAAAACCACTGCTGACACGTAAGCTCTGACGCAGCTCTACTAGGGCGCTACCTCCCCAGCTCTACTAGGGCGCTACCTCCCTCCCCAGCTCGGGCGCTACCTCCCCAGCTCTACTAGGGCGCTACCTCCCCAGCTCCAAGCGAGAGGGCAACTGATGTCAAAGTGCGGCCTTACGTTGTTGCTTGTTGTGTTCGATGTGTTAGACAATCTATGGGGCTGAGGTGGCAAAGTTCGAAGACACATCGAAAGGGCAAGATCATCCAAGCACTCCTGCAGCCTCCCTCCACAGGATGGAGGGAGGTGATGCAACCTCGACGCGGTGCACCCCACATGTGAAACCGGTTCGGGGTGATGTGCGCTGTACACTTTCGCCAGGACACAGAGCGCACGTCTGCCCTTTTGGAGGCATCCATGTGATTGCTCTGCGTCACTAAGTGACCGGGGAGAGCAGTCGGGTGACACAGAGCTTTGACCCCAGTGCAAGAGAAAAAGAGAGATGCGATGTATGTCACTTTTCAGTTTCAATGTGTCTTGCAGTGCTGTGTGAATTTTTGAAATCAGTTGTTTCCGTGCGTAACCTATTTAAGCGTACGCAAACCACATCACAAGCAAACATCAGACACGCGCACGTATTGATCTAATGGACGACGCGGTTTTACTGGATAAGAAATAAAGCAGAAAGACAATGGGCACAACAAAGAAGAGGAAGGACAGAAATTCTGACAGACCAGATTCAATGGCGGACCCGGCGGACACTTCAACGAGGATGGACGCACTTCCGTGCCAGGAGTTTGCTGCTAGCACTTTTGCCTTTTTGGTCATTGTCGGACACTGGGCATTCCGTGGGCCAAAGACCACCCAGAAGTGGAAGCTGGGGCATGACATGGTGAAGGACAGGTGTTTCACGCTGCTGAATGCTATCATGGACCAATTCTTGCACTCCAGAGGGATTGAAATTGAATTTCAGGGCTGGACTTGTGGACGTCCACAGGCTCTCAAAGTCTCACAGGAATTTGAACAATTCATTTTCAGGCCTGGGCCAATGGGCTACTGTGATGGACATGCTTAAGTCAATGACACAGGACGAGCTCAATGGGAATCTTGGCAAACCTCGCAAGGCCATCTCCTCGACGTGCATTGCTCGATTCTACGAGCATTTGGCAGCAGTGATAGACACTGATCGGTCAAGCCATCGAGTATGGACATCCATCTCAATCAAGCAGATGGACCAGCTAAGGACCTACTTGGGTGGGCGGCCTGGTTGCTATCTAGGTGGCGTACTTACACAACATACTATGTGTACATAGCCTGTTTAGCTAAGTAGTTTCTAAGTTCATCGGTGGGCAAACTTACAAGTTGAACATAGCACACTTACATGATGTGCGCTAAGTAGAACCAGGCTAACTTACTAAGTAGGCCGGGTGTACTTATAAGTGAGCCCGGCCTGGTTACTAAGTAGGCCACGGCAGACTTACTAAGTAGGCCAAGGGGGCCTTACAAGTAGGCCCGGCCTATAGTATGCAAGTGTGAATATGTAGCCAAAGTCAATATCCCAAAGTCACAAAAGGATGCACAGCTCCCTTTTCTGTATATAACTTTGGTTTGTGCATGGGTCCTCTGATTACATAAATTGGCGCCCGTTGTGAGCTTGCGCATGCAGTGGCGGTGGTTGTGCGCATTCCGATCTGGCGCTTGCTGTTGTGGCGGCGATTATATATAGAAGCCATGCTTTCATGTCCGTGCTTCGTGAAAAAATGAAAACTGACCTATTTATATAAAAAAAACATATATTTTTACATACAAACATGACATATCCCGTTTATACAACATGTTTCCCACACCTTTCAGCGATCGCCGTACATGGACCCGGTGTTTTTGGATTTGTGACGTATCTATATAAATCTATAGACTTGCAGTCCATGTGAAAGAACAAATCCACGATCACACGCCTGCTGTGGCATACAGGCCGCCTGTCGCAAGCGCTCATTAATGGCAAACCGTTCATGGCTCTTCATGCTTGTTGGGTTATGTCACTACATCTTTTTGCGCAAGTATTGTATGCACAGAACTATCGCCTTTGAAATGGATTTCCTGCATCTGATGAAATATACGACCTCTTAACACGCGTGCAGGAACTGTCGACGAAAAAATAAACACTGTGTGCACTTTATACAGGTGGACAATCAACCAGAAATCTCCGATTAACATGTTTAGGGTCACGGGTACACGGGTTTTCGACATGAAGACTGCGTGCGCGAATCATTTCGCCTTCCAAAACTTCGATCGCAACTCTTTTTTGTTCCTGGAAATGCTAACTTCAAGGCCGGGCCTGTACACGCCACGCAAACTTGAACAGTCTCAATGTTTTGCATGTAGTGCGGCAACATGGAGCTTAGATTAATTTGCAATGTATACCAATTGGAGGTATGACATCTCACATATAGACGGTTGATCGACTTGCTGGTGTGTTGAATGAACACATTGGCAACAGCGAGACATTTGGAGTCCGTGGGATCGGGGAATCAGAGCTTTCAAGTTTTGGATATGTATATTGAATGACATTGAAAAGAAACGTGACGTGTACGAAACATGTTTTGAAACATTACATGAAAAGTATGGAAGGGAGGTCTTAAGGGGGAAAACATGTCTTGAAACATTACATGAAAAGAATGGAAGGGAGGTCTTACCAATAAGGGGGGTATAAAAGGCACCCTCCGGCTGGTGTGGCACCGGCGCCAGCACCTTTCAGCGATCGCCATGCAGATTAATTACACGCACCATCGCGCCCGGTGTTTGTGGACCCGCCTGCTGTGGCATATACGGGCCGTCTGTCGCAAGCGTTCATTGATGACAACCCGAAGCAGCATATGTGTACATATACATATAATATATATATATATATATAGCAATGCTTGTTGGGTTATGTCTCGCAAGCTGACACCAAAACCCGCAAAGAATCCCCAGTGGTCTGTCTCGCCGTGGCTGAGGAGCTTATCTTTAAAATATTGTTCTAAAAGGGTTGGCCTGTTTTGTTCTGCAAATGCTCAACGCCTTTTTTTCAGCTTAAGTCCAAGTGGATGAAGGCACCACCACCATGCAATCCTCGCGATCAGCAAAAACACATACGTCCCGAATGCAATTGAGGTCAACCAAACACGGTTGGAGTCCCCTTCTGCTGAATTGGTTTTGGCCCTGTGGCTGCCACCTCTGAACACACGCAAAATTATCATTGCCTGCCTGCACGAAGAAGAGGACTTCACCAACGCAAATCACACTGCCCAATTCAAAAAGAACTGCATCAGCCGTGAAAATATGAGCTCCAGGACCATAGTACGCAGATCGTGAAACCATGACAGGTTCAATTCCGTCTTCCTGCAAGGCACGCCGCAAAGTTTGCAAAATGCCAGCGCTTGGTTCACTCGGATTGCTCAGTCCCCCGTAGAATGGCTCCACTTGAGCGCTGCGCAGTGATTCCATCATAGAATTCATGGAGTCGATCAGCACATTCTTTTCCCAGCGGCTCCAGGTATTCGTTACCAAATTGGCGTGTCTTTTTAGTTCTCTATGTTTTCTTTCGTGGCACCAACAAGACCACAGGGTGCCTTGAGCACTCAGCATACCACCAAGATGTAGGCAATGGTGGTGCTTTGGTACAAAGCGAATCACGCCATCCGAATCCGTATAAGCATTTTTGAAAGCTTTCAAATGATTCACAATTGCGCTCTGGAGTTGTGGACCGGTAGTCAACCCCTTCTTCAC